AACCTATTTTTATTTTTTTATTTTAAGACAGGATCTTGCTAAGTTGCTTAGAGCCTCTTTAAGTTGTTGAGGCTGGCTTTGAACTTTCGATCCTCCTGCCTCAGCCTCCCAAGTTGCTGGGATTACAGGCATGTGCCACTGTGTCCAGCTCCTTTTTATTTCATTTAATATCAGGTCTTGGACACTTTTTTATGCCAGTACTGATAGATCTACCTTTTATTCTTAATTACTGCAAGTTCATTGTAAAGATGTAACCAGTTTGTTTTCAGAAATATTTAGGCTGTTTATAGTCTTGCCATTGAAAACAATGCTGAGATGAACAATTGTACTTGTAGATTACTTGCCACCTGATTGGTAATGTTTGTGTTTAAAATTTGAATATTTGCTCCCAAATTACCTTCCAATAACTCTAACAATTTATGGTTCCAGTAATAGTATTTGAGAATGCCCATTAAGAATACTGGTATCATCAAACTTTTAAATCTTTACTAATTTGATGGATGAAAATGATATATAATTTTAAATACTTAAATGCCTTAAAAGTCAGGCTGAAGTGGGCACAGTGGTGCATGCCCGTAATCCCAGCAGCTTGGGAGACTGAAGGATTGGGAGATCAAAGCCAGCCTCAGCAATTTAATGAGACCCTAAGCAATTTAATAAGACCCTGTCTCTAAATAAAATACATTAAAAAATGTGGTTATGTGTCCCTGGGTTCAATCCCTGATATACCCCCACCCACCCCCAAAAAAAGAGTGAGGCTGAGCATATTTGTCTCCTTATCCTTAAGAGATACTTTCAAAGACCTTCAGTGGATGCCTGAAACTGAGGGTTATATTGAACCCAATATGTCTGTCTGTCTGTCTGTATGTATATAGATAGATAGATAGATAGATAGATAGATAGATGAAATTTAAGGCTGTAGCTCCCATTGTTGAGCCCCAGACTTCTATGTACACACACACACACACACACAAATTTAATGCCTTTTCCACCATAACTTACATTGCACTGTGGATGCAACTTTTGCAATTTGAGGTGTGACAGCAAAACTAACATGAATTACTTTTCCTTGATCACAATTTCACAGACAGATTTGTTCTTGCCATTGATTTAGCAACCTTAGCATATGATTTTTTTTTTCTTTCCTTATTGAGAATTTTTACCTTTTCACTTGAAGGAAACTACTCTTTGGCATACCCAAATTGCATCATTGCCACCCTTGTATTTTGGGGCCATTATTATGCAAAGTAAAGGTCACTTCAACACAAGCTCTGTGGTATCACAACAATTGATCTGATGACCGAGATGGGTGCTAAGTAACTAGTGGGCAGATAGGATATAAAGCATGGATACTCTGGACAAACGGATGATTCATATCCCAGGCAGGATAGTTGGGTGGTGTAAGATTTCATCACACTACTCAGAACAGCATACAATTTTCAACTTAGATATTGCTTACTTCTGGAATTTTCCATTTACTACTGCGGTGGACCGCAGGTAACTGAAACCTCGGAAAGCCAAACCACAGATAAGGAAGGAGTAATGTATTTGTTGGCTATTTGAGCTTCTTTTTCTCCTGAGTGTGTGTGTGTGTGTGTGTGTATGAACCCCATGTTGTTGGCCTTTGACCATTTGGGGGAAGACTAATCTTTCTCTATTCAGATTTGTAGGAATTGTATATTAAGGAAACCAGCATCTAAGATTCATCTTATTATTTCCTTCATTACAAAGTCCATGTTTAGAAAGATTTTGTAAGCAGCAGTTGTTAAGTTATTACATGTTCTTCCATTATCCCTATCTGACCCATGTATACTGATCCTCAAAATGTTTATCAGCACAAGATGGTCAATGTTTCTGTGTTGAGTTGATATAATTCCAGCCAAAAGCAAAGCCCTGGAATTTTTATTAATCCCAGAAACCCCACCATGTTTAACTGAAGGATAGTCATTGGCTTTCTGAGATATTTTAAGTGGCTTGAGGAGCCCTTGAAGTCTGGGGCCCAACAGTGGGAGCCACAGCCTTGGATTTGGATCCTTCAGCTAGGTCTCCTTTGGCCGACCCAGTTCACTAGAACCAGCAGTGTGGTCTGCACCTGCATGCACCACTCTGTCCATCTGTGGATTCTTCTGTTCTCATGAGTGGGCTGAGTGTTTACATATTTTCCCCTTTGTTTATAGGCACATATGGGTGTGGGTCCCTCAGAAGGTTGCTGAGGCTGGACTGAACCTGCCCCAGGCCAGGCCCAGTGGGACTTTATCTGTGCTGACCCCTGGGAGCTGAGGAAGAGAGGGAGGTGGGAAGGGGCAGGAAGAGGCTCATCTTGAGAATCTCCCAGCTGGCCCCCAACCCTCCTGCCCATCCTTAGCTTCTCTACTTCCTTGGGGGAAATTTCCCCAGGGCTATGTTCTGTGTTGCAGAGAGTGAGAAAGGTCCTCTGGTAAAGATGGGCCGGGATGGTTTGCAGAACCTTACATGAGAGAGCAGGGTGCTGGACACCAAATATGGGCCTGAAAGGAAAATGGTCACTAATGTGGCACTTTCCTCCTAGTTTTAGAGTGGGGGCGCTGAGCTCACAGTTGTAGGAGTCGGGGAAGAGCAGAGGAAGGGAAGCCAGAAATCTGCCTATGATCCTTGACCAGCCCAAGCCTCTGCAGCTGACTTAGAAGCTTCCAGGTTGGTTTGTTTGTTTAACCGAGGGCTGACTTTTAATTGACTGCCACATTCCAGAGTTTGGCAGGGAAGGTGATTAATGGGGTTGGCAGCAGGAGGTAGAGTCGGAGGAAGTCAAAAGAACTCCAAGATGACTCCACTGGAGCCCTAGCTTTCCAGTGTGGTTGCCAGGTATCTCTTCAGCTCACCCCAGTTGCCCACCTCTGCAGGGTGGGCAATGAGCTCTTGGGCTCTAGGGAAGAAAATACTCCCTTGTCTCTTCCCATTAATATCCCCCAGGGATGGCATGTGGGCATCAGAGTTAGGCCCCATTCTCTGCCTTGGGACATAGAATACCCACCTGAGCAGACCCAAGTTTGGGAGCCCAAACAGAATCACCTGGGTCTGTGCCCTAGAAACATGCCTGGGCAGCAAGGGACTCACCCTGTGATGCCTGAGCCTTTCCCTTAAAGCATGGCTAGCGAGATAACATATAGACAGTGCCAGGCTCCAACTCTCATTAAACGTTATCTCATTGGCTTCATGAACCCCTCTGAGAAGGGAGTGAGAAAGAAACACCTCTGCTCTTGCAGTAAAATGGTCTCACTAAATATACCACTCTACCTTGACAGTGAATTTGAAGGGCATTCCTGAGCACAAGGCAGCTTCCACGGTGTGTTAGCTTCCATTCCCTTCATCCTAGTCCCCACCGCAGCCAGACGAGGGGATCCCAGTCTAACATTTGGAACATGGTGATAAAGAATGTGGCATTGGAGCCAAGCAGATGAAGGACAAGTCAGGCCCTGTCACACAGGAGCTGACTTCAAGGGTTGGTCCCACATCTGTAAATAGGGACCTGGCCATGCCCCCCCCCCCCCCGTTTGTTGTGAGGAATGAGTCACAGCAGGAATGTGAGTGCTTTGCATAGGGCCCTAGAGGAGTGTGATTGAGTCCCTGTGTTCTCCCTCTCCTGGTGGCTCTTCTTCCTTCTCAAGAAGGATTCCGCCAGGCCCCCTGGATAGGGCTCTAGGCTGATCTTCTCCTTCCTAGAAAATGCTCAGGTCTTGAAGCCTTTTTCAGTCCCAAAGTCTGAGGATGATCTCTATCACTAGCTGTGGCCTGGGCTGTCCCATGATCAATTTAGCAGACTGGATTCAAGGAGCCTTAGGCCAAGAACTCAGGACACAGCTGTTTGGTGTGAGAGAGGTCAGGAAAGGCCTAGAACATGAAGGAAACCCAGACTCCAACTGGGGGTGAGAGAGGAGATGCTCAGTGTCACTGTGTGTGTGTGGTGTGTGTGTGTGTGTGTGTGTGAGAGAGAGAGAGAGAGAGAGAGAGAGAGAGAGAGAGAGAGGAGAGAGGAGAGAGAGAGAGAGAGAGAGAGAGAGAGAGAGAGAGACTCAAAATAACATTTGTCCCATTTTCTCCTTTTTCTAGATCTGGACTGATTGAGGCAGGGTCTGCCTTCCATCTTTCAGGACAGGGTGAGTATGTGTTGGGGTTAGATGTGACCAGCTATGGCTTTACCTACATAAAATAAAGTCTTCTAAATTTTTGGGTGCAGTTTGGGTGCTATTTTATGCCTCTGTCATCTATGAAATCAAGGATTTCTAGTTCATTGATTCCTTCAAGGGATATACTGTGCGAGGCCAGGAGACAATACCGTACGTAGATCTAGAGACCAGCCCTGTGCTGGGTACCAGAGATAAAGCAAGAAGGATATGTGATTGTGCTGGCCTCTGCCCCTCCCAGCCCCGTGGCTCACAGTGCAGAGTTCAGGGTGATGGCATTTGGCAAGCTGTGGGGGCCAGAGGGCTGCTTACTCTGCTTGGGTAGGCAGCAGGAAGCCCCACTTCAAGGAGGGCTTGTGCCTCCTCCAAAGACCAGATGGATATCTGTGAAGGCCCTGTGGCAGGGACAGTCACCCCAGGCCATAATCCCATGTGTACAAGCACTCACAACTGTGACAGAACACAGGCAGTGTGCTAGATGTGGCCCTAAGTAGCCAGAACATTGGAGACAAGGACAGAGAGGACAGACAAGATGGAGATGCTCATCCCAAAGGTCATATCACCAAATACTCATGGCATAACTGAGGAATTTGGACTTTGGCCTGTGGGCAGGGGCTGGGCTGGGAGGGGGTCATGAAGACCCCACCTAGGAAGACATTGCTCTAGGGAGGGCAAGTGTTGTCCTCTCAGCTCCAGCCGTTATCCCAGGTGGGAGGGCAGACACAGAGAGCCATGTCATCCAACTAACTCTTTCAGAGAAGTTGGAAATCTGGGTTTTCATGTGGCACTGTCATTTTGAAATGTAGATTCCACAAATTCCACAAAACAAAACACACAGGCTCAGGCCAAACAGAAAAGGTCTATAATCCCCATCTGGCCACTAGCATGTGACCTCTGCCTCTTGTAGGAAGAGAGGTGCCCACGGGTCCCAAGCAAGAATGACTGTGTCAGAGTTTGACCCCTATGTTAGCATTCTGGGGATGGCTGTACGGGAGGCCAGAGTCCAAAGAGGCAGCGAGATCAGTTAAGAATCTAGTAGGAAAATCTCATTCTTCTTGATCCATTGATTTAATAAGTATTTATGGAGCATGTTCTGTGTGCAAGCCAGGTGCTATTATGGGAGGCTTATCCTGATTGTCCCCACCTCTAGGCCAAGTTCCAGCTAATTCTGTTGATCCTTCCTGGCATCCGGTCCTTTCTCTGTCTGACGCCACACTTCACATCCCAAGAGAAATCTGTTCTCTGCAGGACGCCTGGAACCCTGCACATCCTCTCCTGCAGACTTTGTCCCCTCTGGTCACATCCCTTCCTCTCCTCTTTTGGAGTTGACTGCTCCTACTCAGCTCTGCATCTGAGCACTCGTCCTCCAGGAGAGGAACTTCCTTTTTCAGCTTTCCAGGTCTTTTCATCTGCAGGAAATTAGCAGAGTTTTACTCTGGATCGGAGCAAACACTTGCATATTTGTGCATCTAGCTGAGCATCCAACTCGGGCCTGGGCTAGTCCCAAAGCACTGGGAGGTATAAGGGTTCCTGTCCTTGAGGTTCTCCCAGGTAGGAGGGAATGAGCCCTGTCCACCACAAAAAGCCGTTCAATGCCCAAAGGCTGGTCCCCATGAGCCTGCTGGGGCCTCGAGAATGTAGCATTAGGCACTTACCCTTCACAGCCTCATGGAAGTCTCACCACAGCCTATCAAATTCAGCCCCTTATTGTCCCATTTTCCAGATGAGACTGAGGTTCTCAGAGTGGAATAACCAACCAGTCAGTCCAGGCTTGCAGAACTGTCAGCAGCACTTGGGTTTGGCCCCAGGTTGGTTGACTGCAAAGCTCATTTCCATCACAGTCGAGGGGCATCCATCGTGGATGAGGGCCATTCAATTTGGGCTGAGGGCCCCAGTCTGAGGTGGTAGAGGAGGTGACCATTCCCCTTCTTCCACTTTCTTCTTCTTCATTTTGGTGTGTGTCCATTTCTTGAATGGGATATGAGTGTTGGGGAACTGCTGGGGCACATCCCCATGACATCTGCCTGGGCTTTCTCCAGGATGGCTAGTGCTCGAAAAAATGATTGTGAGGGACCTGGCTGCTAGAGCAAGCCATGCAGCCACCTCACCCTCCTCTGGCCTCATCCAGCCTCTCTGGCCTCTGACTCTCCTCTCCAGTGTAACCCTCCTTCTCTTCCTCCTAGATGAAGAGCCTGAGGCAGTGAATGTGCAACGATTTGGAACCAGGCAGGGTCCATTAACTCATCTGTGACCTTGACTCTGGGCCTGTAAAATGGTTATAAACATTGACTATTCCAGAGGGAACTAGTGGAAATCAAACAATTGAAGATTAACAGAAGAAAAATGCTAAAAAATTATGAAGCATGAATTTTTCTTTCATTCCACCAAGATTTCTTGAGTGTGAACTCTGTGGCTAGCCCTGCCCTGGATTCTAAGGTTCAGTCCTAAGGAAGACAGACACAGCTCCCGCCTGCACAGAGCTTACAGTCTGGGGACAGAGACAGATGTTTAAATACCATCTATTAAAAATACCACTATTAAAAAACAGACTGGAACAAACGTGGGGTCCTGAGGCTTTCCTGAGGAAGTGGGATTTAAGCTGAAGGATGAGGGTCACCTGTACAGAGCAGGGAAGAAGGTCCCAGGGTATGAGTGCCAATCATTGGGCAGGGGAACAAGGCAAAGGGTTGTAATGGGGCAGCAGGAACTAGGGGAGGCTGAGGGTCTGACTGGAGCTGTGTAGTCACTATAACAAAATTCCTGAGAAAATCACCTTGTAAAGTGGAAAGGTTTATTTTAGTTCCCTTTTGGAGATTGCAGCCTATGATCGGTTGGCCTAATTGCTTTGGGATTGCCTGTGGTAAGGCAGTATATCATGGTGGGAGTGTGTAGTGGAGTGAAACTGCTTACCTCATCATAATCCAGGGAGCAAAAATTAAAAAAAAGTAAGAAGATTGCCAGGGTTGCACAATCCCCTTCAAGGGCATGTCCCCAGTGACCCAAAGACCTCTCCCATTAGACCCCACTTCTTAAAGCTTCCACCACCTCCCACTAGCAGCCCCCTGGGGACCAAGCATTTAACACACAGGGATTTGGGATTGGGTATGGCCTTGCAAAAGGGAGCTGTTGAGGAACTTGGTTGAAGTGACTTGACCACAACAGACCTTTCTCTCTAGCACTTTGCTCTTTGACCTGGTTCCTGCAGCTTCTCAGTGCATTCTTTACCTTCTGCCTCCATTTTGCATGTTGAGAAGTCAGGCCTGGGGGGAGGTCTAGGCCCTCACCCCGTCCCTGGGCTGAGGGACAGCTGATTGGAAGCAGATGCCATGCCCTGGTGGGGCCCTGCCGGGAGTGGTGAGGCCGTGGAGGGCCTGGCTCCCCCATGCTGACCTCAGACCTGCACCACTGGCATGTCCAGGCCGCAGACTCTCTGTCAGCAAAGCCGCATCCGTCCTGCAGAGAGACGGTCACTGTGGCTGCCCACACCTCCAACCCAGCAATTTCCCTGCCACGGTGAGAAACCTCCTACAGTCCCTGGCTAGAGACAGCCTCCTCCAACTCGGCCTGGAGCCTGGCTGGGGGAGGGAGAGATGCCAGCTAGGTTCTTGGAAAGGCATGAGACTGGCAGAGGTCTCTGTCACCTGCACCTGGTTCCTCAGCACACCTGTATCAGCACAGTGCAGATGAGGCCACCAGGACACTACTTGCCATGTACGAGGCTTTGTGTTAAGGATTTTGTATCTTCCCATTTAATCCTCAGTAACAGCTCCTTAAGGCCCAACTGTTGGGGAGACTCAGAGAAGGCATCTTGTCACACAGCCTGTAGCAGCAGAACTGGGATCTGGACCAGGCTATTGGGGTCCATGGTTAAATGCAGTGGAGACCCGGTGGTTGCTCCTGAACCTATTGCTCCCAGAGACCCCTATGGGCACACATGTTGGCACAGGGCACTAAAATGGGCACAGTGTGTTAGAGAAGCCTCTGGAGGCAGAATCCTAGGCTCTGTTCACTGTTAAGGGCGATGTGCTTGCATTTGGTTTTGTTTGGATCATGCCCAGGGGTCCCCTCACAGAGGGATGTTGCAGATGGTTGTCTCTGAATACCCTTGGGGACCATCTCCCACATACCCCCTGCTGGGGCTATGCCTCCACTGAGCTCTGCCTTTATGTCTCCAAGTCCCAGTAGGTACCTGCAGAGTCTGGCAAGGTTTCGGGTCCTCTCAGAGACAACTCCTGTATTCTTCAGCAGCCCTAAATGCCACTTCTCTAACAGCTGTCCCTCCCTCTTGGGACAGCTTAAATGCATCCTCTTTCCTCTGCTCCTCCAGTCCCCCCTCCCCCCACGGACTTGTACGGATCCGCACTCTCACAGAACTGTGACCCTCTCTGCCCTGTGTTTGGGAGCTCACATCTGGGGCTCCTGGAGTGTAAGAGAAAAGGCAGAGGCCCCCACTGCAGAGCCTGGCCTCTGCTGTGTCTTCCTGCTACTGTCCAATTACTGAGAAGGAAAAAAAAACAAACATGGCAGGTCACCCCACTGGAGACCACTTTGTTGTCTGTTCTAGGCCAGAATTTCCTTGGTAGTCCTTGGGCAGGTGAATCGGCACTGAGGCTGACCCCATTGAGGGTGGGGTCTGTGATGGCAGATGTGTGTGGCTTTCTGGGGACTTTAAGATGCAGAGGAAGAATACAGCTATTTGTGTTTGGGGGTTTGAAAAGGAGAAGTAGCCCCCAAACCAGCCTAGATCCTGAGAAAGGGGGACTGAAGCTCTGATTCAGTCTGAAGGTGGACTCGATGCTGGAGAGATGGCCACAGATGTGCATGAACAAGCTGTGAGTGTGGGCTGTGACCCTGCAGAGCACTGAGCAGATGGCAACCCTCAGTCATCCTTGGCCATCCTTGGAGTCCTCCCTCTGGAAGGTCCCTGTGGCCTGCGTTGTGTGCAAGTTGGTGCAGGAACAGCTTCCTCCTCTGACACATGGCATTCCTCAGTGGGAACTGATCAGTGTTCCAGTTCTCCTGGCCAATGTGTGAAAAGTGAGCCTTCTGTCCCCCTCTTTTTGAGTCACAAGATGTTGGGGTTCTGGGGCAATCAAAGGGAGAGGAATCTTCAAGAAGAAGGTTTATTCTTTTAATTATACAGATGTTCTTTGACTTTCTGTGGGATTATATTCCAATAAACCCATCATAAATTAAAGCCATCGGAAGTCGAAAATGCATTTAATACATCGGGCCTCCTGAGCATCACGGTTTAGCAACAGAGCACACTTCGGAGAATCCATTGTTTCCCTCCTGATCCAGTGGGTGGCTGGGAGCTGCTGCTGCTCAGGATCATGGGAGATCATTATATCAGATATCCCTAGCATGGGAAAAGATCCAAATTCAAAATTCAAGATGTCATTTCTACTGAATATGTATTGCTTTTGCACATTGGAAAGTCTAAAAATCATAAGTTGAACCATTGTAAATTAAGGATCATCTGTAATAGGTTGAATCTGGATAGTTTTAATTAAAATTACAAAATCAAAGAAATGCAGTGGTATTTACACCTCAAATTTCTGTTGGCTGTCGTCATGGTTGCTAAGACAACTGCTCAGAGCTTACTAGGTGCCAGGTCCTTACCAAACCTCCCATATACATTATCGTATTTAATCTTCACAACAAGGTAGGTGCCTTTGTCACCATTTTAAAGATGAGAAAACTGAGGCATACAGAGGCTCACTGCCTTTTCCAAAGTCCTACAGCTAAGCTAAGAACCAGGCTGATAATAACCCTCATGTCTTACCCTCCAAAGTCCTTCAACCAGAGATCCCACTGCTGTGTCTGTGGGCAACCTAGGAGATACATGCCTGCCGGAGGAGCCCGAGGTCTGAGGGGATGGTCAGGCCTCCATCAGGTGCCTGTCCCCTGCAGCAGCTGGATCTCATTACAGTGCCGACAGCAGTCTAGAAAGCCACCTTCTCCAGGGCTGCAGGGGAACAGGACAACCACAGCCAGTGACCCCTGGAGGCCTTTGGGTTCCCACTGCCCACCCGGCCGAGTTTCACAAGCCTGTTGACGTTGATGGGCAGCCTGTGTGGAGCATGCAGGAAGCCCAGGGGCCTGTGGTCTGCCAGCGTTGCTCAGAGTTTCCTGGGCTGAGTCTTCCTGCTGGGCTTCCTCGGGACTTTGCCAGCGCCCCCTGTCCCGAGGCTGTGGGGGTCCCATCTGGCTCTGAGAGGCGGCTGAGGGCCTGGAAGGCCCATGCTCTGAGTGCTAGCCTGGAAAGCTCTTGAGGCCCCGCTAATGGCCTCGGCATGTCTGATTGTCTCTGGGGACCAGCACCACAGGGTGGGGCAGGGACTGTGCTACTTCCAGTCAGGAGACCTGAGTTTCACTCTCAACCCCGAGGTCCTCCCTGAGCCCCATTCCTTCACCCACTTCAGGGCAGTGATCTGACCTTGGGCCTACTCCTGGTAGTCCTATCTTCTGGAAACTTCTGAGAGTTTGGGCGTAACAGGTTCCTGAAAAGGAAGAGAAAAGCATTCCCACTGGAAAATAGCCAAAACTAAGGCACAGAGTTAGTCCTCCCTGCACCCCACCACCAGCTCTCTGTGCCTGGGAGTTGTCCTTAATGTTTACATATATTAACTCACTTGCCTCTCTGTCATCCCTATGAGGTAGGTATTAGCTTGCTCTATTTTATAGATGAAGTGGTGGAGACTGAGAGAGGTAAAGTAACTTGCTCAAGGTCACATAGCTGGAAGTGGGGAGCCAAGACCCGAACGTAGGTAGTCTGGGATGCAAGCAGGAGTGGAGGCGGGGATCTGGGACTGGCCCCATCGGCCTCATCCCCTGCTGCAGGGCAGTGTTGATGTACAGACATATTCCTGAAACATGTGACGTGCAGAAGGTATGGCTAGCTTGCTGATATGGGGACACTGGCAGTTCACATAGTAAGGGAATGAGAGAGTTGATGAGTGGGGGAAAGCACTGAGGCCTCCAAGGCTCAGATCTGGCCCCTGCCCCAGGCGTCTCCATCAGTAGACTTCTTCCCCATGGGGCTGCTGGCCCCCACTGACTGTGGGCAGGCAAGAATTTTAAGCAGTTCCTCCATTTCCTCTGGCCCCCTCCTCTTAGGCCATTCTCTCCTCTAGGAACACTGGCATCTCAAACTTCCTTCCAGGAGCTCCCCAGGGGCTCAGGGTCCACAGAGAGCCAGGTCTGCGGGACACAGAGCTGGAGGCAAACCTTGCTGCCGGCAGAGGCTGCTGAGAGACCAGCCAGTCTGCAGGGCCCAGAGCTGGGGTTGGTGAGAAAGGAAGCTTCCGTTCTCTGTGGCATTCAGACCCCACCAGAATGTGGCTTTGGGCCAGGATCCCTCTGGGCAAGAAAGGATGACTCGACAGAAAAAGCATCCTGGCCCCGGGATAACTGGAGCCGCCACACTGGGGCTGGTGCCAAATGGCAGGGCTGCGAATTGATGACCCTCCAACTCAGCCTTCAGCTCCACCCTCTGCCTCCTCGAGAAGCTGTCCTCCAGGCTGGGGTTTTGAGACCCTTTGGAGTGAATGGGTCTGATCTTTCAACTTTCAAACATAGACAAGAGGGGGCCTGGCGTTGGCCAGCTCTTTCCTACTCCCAGGAGTGGAACTGGTAAATAGGGAGAAGCAGGCAGCCCTGGAGACCCCTCAGGCCTGGCCCAGGGTGGGAGCTGGTATGATTAGAGAGGATGGATGGGGCGCTGGGGAGCTGGCCTGGGCTGCACAGGGGGAATTCCAGCTAGGCGAGCCAGTTGGAAGCACATGTGTTTAGACAGGCGCGGAGACCCACAAAGCCGCTTCTCCGTTCTTCCAGGGCAGCTTCTGAAAAATTAAGGATTTCAGGATCCTGGGATCTATCTGTCATAAGAGGAGCCTCACGACACAGGCCAGTGGCCACTGGGGACTATGGTTGTCCTGTAATTGATACCAGCCTTCTGCCCAATTGCAGAATCAGATGGTGATGACCGTGTGAAAATGACTATCTTTTTATGGCTGGGGCCATAGCGGCTGCTGGCATCTATTGAGTGCCCCCCATACCCTCTTGATGACCATTACATGTTTGATCTTAAGCATTCCTTGTAACAAACTTACAAAATAGGCAGGTACTCATCTTGCCCTCAATTTACAGAGAAGAAAATGCACTGCGGAAGGTTAAGTAGCTGGCTTAAGGTTACCCAGTGGCAGAATAATCCAAATCTACAGCCATAAATGCTCTACTTGATACATGCCCCTTACCCCTACCCAATGGAGGAGGAAAAAAGGATAGAGTCCCTACAGCTCTACCTCCCCTGAGTGCCACACAGTGGTCAAAGGCCACTAGGGTTGGCCCATGGAAACACTGACCCCTTTCTAGGAAGCATTGCAACATGCAGCGATTTCCTGTGTAACGCATCACGGGGTGCTTGGGGCTGGTGAGCAGTGAACATTCTTGGACCTGCGGCTAAAAGACAGGATGAGCTTATCTCTTGACTTCATAACTGCATGACTTTGACAGCCCACTCTGTCTCCCTGGACCTTGGTTCTCACACCTGTAAAATGGGAAAAAAGAACATGATGGCTCTCCATTACCTGCTTCAGCAATGACACACAAACACTGCAGCACAGGGCCTGGCCAGAGAGAAAGCAAAAGGTAGCGGTAGGAGTAGGATGAGAGGATGGAGAGATGGAGAGGAGAAAGAGGAGACGGGAGGTGGGCAGGAAGGGAGGGTCTGTGGCTGCATCATGCTGCTAGCATCAGAGGTCAGCACAGAGGCCAGCAAAGATCAGAACTTCCTTTAATTTAACAGATTAAGGGGCAACTATTTTGCACTACTACCTGCCTGGTGGAAGCACCTGGGATTATGCCAGGAGTCTTCGGTGAGGACACAGAGCAACAGAATGGAGTATCTTCCCAGGAAAACTGCACACTCAAACTGCTTTAGGCAGGTGCCTGGTGACAGCCAGTTCCCTGAAAGTGCCCTGTTTGTCACCTTCTGTCCTGCTCTAACCTGGCTTCTGTTGGTTGACTGGTTGCTGTTGCCCTAGCAACAGAGCAATAACGGAGGTGGCTGCAAATGACTGTTAAATCACTTAATTATTGCAGAAAACGGGCACAGTGCCAAACAGGGGTGGTTACAGCCACTTTAGACTTAGTCATTCCTGCAACTAAATGTGGCTGGGATGGTTGTAAACACGCACGAAAAAGCAGACACCCCAGCCCCCGCCCGCCAATGAATACATTTTGGTTGACTGAAGAACCCCTGAATTATGAAGACATTATTATATCTATTACCATTTTACCACTGAGTCAATTTTATTAGATTCAAAACTTTGGCAAATCAGTAATGTGTAGGGGCAGGCTACTTCCCTTCCTCAACATTTCACAAGGATTTATCAATAATAGTATGTCCTTTCTGTTTGGGCTATTATTATGGCTCTATTTTGGAACATGCTGTAGCGGTTTCTTTTTGGAAACATCGTTTGGCTCATAATCTCTTAGCAACAGGACTTTGAGGTCTAACGGCCGGTGTATTATCCTAGCAAATGATTGTGACTCCGTGGGCGAAGGAGCCCACAGCAGCCAAGTCAGAGTACCCTCTGATTATGGCTTTCATTGTCGTAGGTCATTGAACGTCACCAGCATCTGCCATGGGTCAAACTTGCTTTATTATACGCCTGTGAGCATTTGCTGTGGCAGCCACATCCCCAGGAGCTGCAGGACTTTTAGACTTACCAGTGCCCCAGGCTGTCATAGCCCTGTTTTTTCCTGAGTGTGGATCCTAGAATTTGTGTCCGACTGGGAAGAGATTTGACTTCCTTCTCTGTGTGCACCTGGCGCTCTGGTTACCTTGCTGCATCCTCACGATCCTCCTGTGCCACACAGAACATTGCCCTGCAGGCTGCAGGAGAGGCAGTGAGTGGTGGCTCTGGCTCCGGCAGGTGGAATCGCTGGCTGTTCTCGTGGGCCATTAGGGGCTGAGCAGGACTTGAAGCCTCTTTCTGCTCCGTCCATTCAAACATCCACGCCTATGGGGCAGCTGGGTGTTCATGGGATGTTTGATTTCCATAAGGTTCTGCTCTAGGGCGGAGCACATAAGGGTCATTGCCACAGACCGATTCCACAGGTCAAAGGTCATACAAACAGTGTATGCATCTGGCGCCACTGAGGTCAGCCCTTGCAGGCAGTGTGGGGCCTGCCTGTGACGGTGGCTCTCAATTCCCTTTTTATCCCTGTTCTTTCTGGTCCCATCCAGAGTTTGAAAATGTGGTTCTCCATTTGTGTGGGGGTAGAAATAAAAATGTTTACAAATGGTTACTATTTATTGAAGAGCCAGGCACTTTACTTATATGCCCTTATTAACTTCTTAAAACCTTATAAGGATGTGATGTTGTCCCTGTTTACAGATCAGGAAATTGAGGGTCGGCGTGATTGGCTGTCTTGCTTCAAGTTGCGAAGGCCCCACAGCCCTCCTCCCCTTCCCACAGCTCTGTTGCTCATGAGCAGAGGTGGGTGTACTGAGAACCTCTGGAAGCCTGTGTTGTAGGGTCCCATACTCAAGCCAGCCCCTTCCAAGGTCCTGAAAATCTATTCAGATGGTCACAGCTCTGTAAAATTTGCAAAAAGTAAGATTTTTTAAAATAGTCTGTTTGCAAAGAACTCTCCCCAATTGTATAAACCCCAGGCTCCCTGGAGAACCTGGACCTACCCAGCTTGTGAGCGTGAGCATCCTGTCCTTATAAACAATGTGTAAGGACGTGAGATGGATGACGCAAGGTCGAACCATGCTTGCTCTTTCTAGCCTACCAGCTTTATTTAGAAAATTTACACTCTCTTCTATCCCCTTTTCCTACCTTATTTCTTTTTTCTCCTTAACACCTTCCACTAACACACGGCATAATTTATGTGTTGACCTTGTTTATGAAACTTCGAAGGAACCACTCAACAAACATGTTTGGGTGAATGAATGCAGCCTTCATCCATAGACTTAAAACAGTCAGGTGTAGCAAATGGAGCTGTGATTACCTCCACATTACAGACATTGAAATGGGAATGGTGACATCCTCAAAGGTTCCCACTAACAAATCCAATCTCTTCTCTATGCTCTGAGCTGTCTTTGAACTTGGCCACATCCAGGTTTCCTCTGGCCATGACATCATAATATTCTCACAGACTAGACATCATCTGATGGATGCTTCATCCTTGGCTATTCCCTCCCTCACCAAGTTCTCCTGGCCCCCAAAATCTTGCCAATCACCTCCCAAATATCTTCCAAACTTAATCATTTCAATCTCCAAACAGCCCTACCCCAGAGAGAGTCTCCATCCGACTCCCAATGGCTCCCTGCCCTATTCTGACATTATCAACTCCTGCTGGAATTGGCCCATGGGTCCTTATTTCATAGAGATTGTACCGAAATCCTCAGGACTCCCTACACTGACTTCTTTTCTTTTCCTTCTTTTTTTCCCTCCAGTTTCTAAATCTCACCACCTCCTCCGGATTCAGAGTCTTTGTACATGCTCCACCCCCTTGGTGCCAGAACATTCTTCCCCTCCTCCCTCCCTCCCATCCTATTTGACTTTTACTCACCCTTCTGGCCTCAAAGCAAACATTGCTCCCTCAGTGGGTCAGAGCGTCTGTAGATTGTTTTTACAGCTCCCCGTGTGTCTCTGCTTAGAACTGATCACACCACAATTAAACAACCCTGTTGGGCATTGTTTGTTTGTTGATCTGCTGTTGCTACCCCTCCCCCTTCCTTCCAACCAAAGACAAGCTCAGCTGGCAGGATCACATTCATCTTGCTGAAAAAAGATGTTTACATGTATTCCTCCTGAGTGAGTGTTTCACATTGGCTCCATTTGATTAGCTAGGGACCCAGGTCCTTTCCATGCTGTGTCCCAGAGGAGCTGTCATCTACATAGTTGAGATTGGTAGTCATTGCCACATCAGGTTGGAGCCAGTGGGAAGGGGGGACAGGTTTTCTGGGTCTTGGTTTAATTCTAATTACCTATTAATGAACAACAGACCAGCCAAACTTTAGAGCCATAAAATATCAATCATTTTATATAATCATCCTCACAGATTCTATGGGTCTGTGTGAAATTCTGGGGAATTTGAACAAAACAGAGAAGACTGCTTGTCTTTCTGCTTTATGATGCTGGGACCTCAGATACAAAGACCCAGAGCGGTTGCAGCGGAGTCATTCATCGGCACTTGGCTGGGAGACTGGGCTCCACTGGGCCCGCACAGAGCCCCGGTATCCAGCTTCTCCAACATGGTGGCCTCAGTGGAACTGGATTTTAATGGTGGTCCAGTGCTCCAAGAGTGTGTCTTCCCAGAGAACAAGGTGGGACATGCATAGCCTTCTGTGGCCTAGCCTCGCCAAAGTCATGTTATTCTCACAGTACTCTTGATTGAAGATGGCCCAGGTTCAAGTGGAAGGGTCCTAGACCACCGTCCCTTGACAAGAAAAGAGTTGAAGAATTTGTGATCACGTTTTCAAACGGTTACAGGCTGAAAGATCACATGCCAGCTTCAATCACATTCTGCTAGCGAGAATGGAGTCCTTACAGCCTCAGCTACATGACAGAGCTGTGCATTGCTGTCCCTGGTTGGCAGCCATATACCCAGCTTGGATTCCATTACAACAGAAGGGAGGATGGATTTTTGGTGGAGTCTTAGCAGTCTGCCACAGTCACTTCTCTGGCCGTCAAATATCTTCGTATCTCTCTCTTCCCAGACATTCGATATACTTCATCCAGGGAAAAATCCAAAATCTCAGTGAAGGCGTCCACAGCTACATATTTGTTGAACAACTAACTGAATATTTGCAGAATGTCTGTGTCCAGACTGTCCATCATGAAGACAGGGTGAGCAGAGGCAATGTTCTATTGTTAACCTCAGCGCCTTTGCACATGCTCTCTTCCCCTCTGGTGCAGAACATCCTTCCTCTCTTCCCTCCCTCCTATTCTACTTAAGTTTTACTCACCCCTCTGGTCTCAAAGCAATCATGACTCCCTTGGGTTGACACTTCCATGTCCACCCAGTTTGCATCAGAGCCTGTGGCAAACTCAGTAATTATGGCCTCTTAGGAGTTGAAAGAAACCCGTTTTTTCCCTTTGTCTTGGTAATTAATTCGATCTATTTACAGAGTAGGAAATATCAATAAATGTTAATTGAAGATAATATCTCACTTTGGATATTCACTCTGCATCCAAAATTGATTCTAAGTAGATGAAGATTGAAATGTAAGAACAAACCCACAAAATGCAAGGGGAAAAAACAGAGACGGTTCACAGAAGAACATAAACAAAAGGCCAACAGGGATATAAGAAGAAGTGTTCTTGAGGCTATGGGGAGACAGGAACTCTCCTACATTCTTGGTAGGTATTTAAGTTGATCACTTTTAGAGAGAGGGTTGGCAAGTCTTTCAAGATATCCAATATCTATACCCTTTCATTCAGAAATTCCACTTCTACATATTTATTTTGCAGATTTACAGTATTCTCATAAGTGAATAAAACTTCATGGCAAGAGTGTTCAATGCAGGCTTGTTTAGAATAGCACTGTAACTGGAAACCACCTAAATGTCCATCCATGGGAAACATTAAATAAAGTCAAATCCCAGGCAACTGATAAAAGGAATACGGTGGATTTATTAGTATTCACATGGAGAAATGTCCACGGAATACTGATAACTGGACCCAAAAGGCAAAGCGGAGAACGACACTATAGTATATAGTATAATGTGATTCCATTTGTATTAAGAAAGAAAACAAGCCGAGCCAGGCATGATGAGCCCCTATAACCCCAGTGACTCTAGAGGCTGAGACAGGAGGATCCCAAATTTGAGTCCAGCCTCAGCAACTTAGTGAGACCCTGTCTCAAAGTAAAAAATAAAAAGGGCTGGGGATGTGGCTCAGTGGTGGAACCTCCCTGGTTCAATCCCCATTACTGAAAAAAAAAAAACAAGCTGATATACTCCATACATAT